GAGTGGCATGCGTGAGAGTCAGTCACACCTGCGTTAAGGCCACGTGTGCAAAGCAAGGGGTTCGTCTACTAAACGGGGGCACTTCAAATTACAGTAAAATCTAAAAATCACACTATGGTATTGAGTACAAGTGTATAAATATATATCAGGTGTATAAATATATAGATTACAAGGAAATTTTTACAATAAGTTAAATTATCTATACTCATAACTAAAATCAATTGGTACTTGACAATTATAATAAAATAACAATTAAGCTCCTGTTAATTAAGAATTACAAAAGTGACAGTTTATGCAGCCGCCATCAGTAATTAATGTAATCAGATTCTCCCTCCTGATATTTGCTTTAAATGTTGATAAGGAAGTTATGGCCCTGTTCTTACTCCATAGTTTTGACCAAAAGAACGGCCTAAAGTATCTTAGCGAATGCTTCCCAAATTTTACTGAATTTATCCTATGAATAAAAGAGTCTGAATTTCTCAAGTTATAACTGGAAGGTGACTCCTTAAAAAGTCGACGATATGTGTGAGAAGTAGCTTATTTTTTACTTCAAACATAAAGATTGCGATGTCCTGCAATCGCCTATTAAACGAGCTTGTCAAACGTGCTCGAGAAAGAAACTCACTAAACGAAGAATTCCATTCGCAGAATACAGCTCTCAAATCCGTCTCATTTACTCGCTCAAGTTTCCTCCTATCTGAGCTCTTACAGAAGTGCCAAACAAGACCACAATATGTTAGGTATGGTAATATGGCAGCCTTTCAGGTACTGAGTTTTTCATTTATCGATATGAGTTTATGCAACCTCATCAGCACTCCTACCCGCATACGAACCTTCTTGCAAGCTGCAGATATTTTCTCAGAAAACAATAAGCGTCTATCGATGACAACACCTAGTTATTTGAGATCCTCAGTGTTAGTTCTGTTTTAACAGAGTCAATTCCAACGTCCACCAGTGGAGTGTACTTAGACATGATCATGGCCTGATAATTGCTTAAATTTCCCTGAAGAAAATTCTCACTGTAC